AGGATACAATAACTCTGCTGCTGTGAACTTGAGTCTTGGTGAACAGGGTTGTAATTTTATGGACAGAGCATATAGCTTCTATTTGAGGGTTAGAATAAAAGTGATGAAGGTTTGTGAAAGGAGATTTTTGTGGAACTGTGAGATCGGACAGTCTTGTAGTGATAATTTGTATATGTGCTGCCGAAGTGAGGACTCAGAATGATAATTTGAAGATGGAGCAAAATCCTGAGAGGGAGGAAGCTCGTAGAAGTGAGGACTCAGAATGATAATTTGAAGATGGAACAAAATCCTGAGAGGGAGGAAGCTCGTAGAAGGGTGCTGGGGAAACTTGTCTGCCCCTGAAGCAGGAATGGAGTGGAGGTTTGAGGGGATTGGTACAACTGTAAATTGAATTATCAGACCTCATCCAAATTCCATCTGTAGAGTTAGTGCTGAAAGAGGAAGGGCAAATCCATCTACAGGCCACACCCCTCCATTGGGCCTGGTGGAGGCCTGAGGAATCACTCTCCCACTGAAGCCTTCAGTATGTGCCTTTTCTCCCCCCCCCCCCGCCCCCACTACCTAGTAAGGAGAGGAGAGACTGGAGTGGTGACTGGAGTTCCTTTTTTGAACCTTTTCAGTGGCCACTTTTAGTGATTGAGTGCTTAACCCTATGGTTTATTTTCTTTACAGCTATCCAAATATACAGGGGGTAATAAATATATGATGAATGTTTTAATTTAAAAAATTTTTTATTATAGTAAAAGACATAGTGGCATTAATCCTCCTAAAAATACCAGCCTTTGCTTCAGACACACTTACTCCATGTTCTTACCACTTTCTGAAGCAGTTCTGAAAGTCCGTGTGTGGGTGTGTGTGTATGATGAAAAGTAGTACAGTGAATGCCACTGCCATGTGCCATCCAACAAAAAGTAGGCTTATAAGAACATTACAGTTTGTCCACCACTTTATTTACCACATCTGGCACTGGGCTACTTCTGGCTCTTCCCCAATATCCAAATGACCATGAAAGGTCAGTGTTTTGAATTGATTCAGGGCATTGAGGCAGCAACAACAGTGCAGCTAAACGACACAAGACTGCCAGACTGCTTCAGAAAGTGGCAAAAATGATGGGAGAAATGTATTCAAAATGAGAGGAGTAATTTGAGGGAGATGAATGGCAGTGTATATTTTACTATAATAAAATTTTTAAAAATTAAACATTCATGATATTTAAAAAAACATTTATTTTGTATATCCCCTCATCTATGTTTTAGCTCTCACAGACTTGGATGGTCAGTTGAAAATATCTGGTTTATGTTCATGTCTCCCTTATTTCTGGAGTAAGGACTGGAGCAGGAGCAGGATGTCTTGCATCCCTGCCTCCTTTAAACCTTGTGGTTCAATTAATAGTAAAAAGAACAAATAAGCTGATTAGGTGTAGTAGCTTACCAGAGAATTATTGAACAAGGTGTAGTAGCTGAGCTTTATGAAACAATGTCTTGGAAGTGCTGAAAGAAAAATAAACCAACCTAGAATTCTAAATCCACTTAATCTGTCATTCGAGAATGAAGATAAATAAACCTTTCATACAACCTAAGGTTCTTCCAGTAATGGATATTTATTGATAGAATTTTGAAAGATATATTTCATTTCAAAGAAGAAAGCTGAGCCTAGAAAAAGGAAATAAGCAAAATGGCACAGAGAACCAAGATTATGTGGGAAAATATAAATAAGCACATTCTGTTATGTAATAACGATAAAAGTAGCTGGTCAAATAATAAGAGAATAAAAATATTAGTGCTATAATGTATGAAATGGGGTAGGGCGATTGGAATAGTGGGTTGTAAAATATGCAAATTATACTTCATTTAAAATTGACATATGCTACATGTGTAGAAAAGGTTTTTGAATAACAGAATATATTTTCTCAGTGTTATTCCAAGTAATGGTACTTTTAATTAAACTTAGTATTCTGTTAGGGGCTTGGTACCGGGGATCAAACGGGTTTGATTTGGTTTTTAAAACAGGGTCTTGCTATACAGTTCAGGCTGGCTTTGAACTCACTAAGAGCCCAGGGTGGGCTTGGACTTACGGTGATCCTCCTGCCTCAGCCTCCCTAGTGCTGGGATTATAACTATCCACCACCTTGCCTGGCATGTTTTGTTTGTTTTTGTTTTCTTGAGACAAGGTCCCATTATGTTGTCTAGGCTGACCTCTTAACTCATGTGCACAAGTGATCCTGTAACCTCAGCCTCCCCAATAGCTGGGGGGCTATAGGCATGCATCACCATGCTGGGCATATTCTGAGTTTTAACTGGTTCATGCTATATTTTACACGTTATGAAAGGATCTCTTCTCATGGGAAAAGAAAGCTAATTTGATTTCAAATATTACATTGGAGAGGATGTAAGAGGAAGTTGCCCTACTAGGCATCCATTGTTTTAAAGCTACAGTAATTAAGAAAATCTGATATTTGTTCTGGACTAGACCATTGAAATAGATTGTAGAGTACAGAAATAAAATTACATTTAAATGAAGTTGACATATGGTGGAGATAAGGCTAGGAAAAATTGTTCATAAAATGAACTGGAGGTACTGGTTGGCATAGAAAAAAACCAACAATCCCTCTCTTATCTAACCAAATAAATCCCTCACTAAATTGATTCCCCAGACGTAGCAAACAAAACATACTTATATTTTAAAAAGGAAAAAAACTCATGGCCTCAGTATCTTGAAGGACTGAAGGGACACAGTATTTTCTACAGAGTAAAAGATAGATTAAATTATACTGAAATAAAATGTCTGTAAATCAAAAGACGTCATAAGGTGACAATACAAAGCACAAATTGAAAGATCATTGTGACACCCAGGTGTGGTGGCACACACCTGTAATCCCAGCACTCATAGGCTGAGACAGAATAATTGCTGCAAGTTGGAGGCCAACCTGAACTACATAGTGAGACCTTGTCTCAAAAAGCGCCCCCCCATCATTATGACTCTAAAATCAATAAAGAATTACTCTCAGAATATGTAAATGAAATCCTATAAATCAGATAAAGAAACAAATGAAATGTTTGACATCCCATAGAAGAGGAATTTCAATTAGACTAGAAGAATATAGAAAAGATTGCTCATACTTATCCTGAAGTAACCAATAGGATATGATTTTGTACCCATTAAATTGGCCAAAAAGTTCATATCTAATACTACCAACTGCTGCTGAGCCTATGAAACAATGATGGTGACCTTTGTATGGTTACTAGGAGGGTCTCATAGTCCGTTAGGCCTGCTGTAATGAAATGCCTAACACAGGATTGATATATAAATAATAGAAATTATTTATCACTGTTCGGGAGCCTGAGAAGTTGAAGCTTGGATTCCATGTCTGCTTTACTCTGCTGCACCCTCGCACGGTGGAAGAGGCTGAAGGGATTAACCTTCTCTCAAGCCCTGTTGTGAGGTCACTAATCACCTCCTAAAGACTTCACCTCCTAATACCATCATCTTGTGGGTGAGGATTTAATATAAATCATTTAGATAATGACAAAAATACATAGATGTGCAAAAGAAATTGTCGAAATAATTTTCAAAGTTTAAAAAAAAACTAGTGACGTAGTTTTCATCTCTCATACATACTAAAATCTACTGGGAGGTCTAATAGCTAGCTACCATAGTTTCAGGTGATGATTAGCATGAATGATATTTTGAGATAACCATTTGCTATGTGATAGGAATGTATCTAGGTCTGCCAGTGACAAAAGCATGGCTAATGCTGTTTAGGTTTTACATATGTAAAGAAAATGTTAAGTTTTAATTCAAGATTAATGAAAAATAAGGATTTGTTTTCACACAACTTTGTAAATCTACCTTAAAGGTGTTTGTGGGCCACATATTAAGAACTCAGATCCTATAGACTGATATATACATGCCCAAGAAGATTAACATTGAAGCTAGGGGTAGTGGCATCAACTTGTAATCCCAGCACACTGGGAAGCGGAGGCAGGAGAGTTGCACATTCCAGGTCAGTCCAGGCAGTTTAGCGATTTAGCAAGGCCTTGTCTCAAAAAAGAAGAAAAAGGGCTGGGGATGTAGCTCAGTTTGAAGGCCTTGGATTCAATACCCAGTACTGCAAAAGAAAAAAAAAAGCGACAGCATTGCTTTAGCAACAAATGAGGAAGACCCTAAAGATTCCTCAGTAGATATGTGAATTATGATATATGTTCAGATATTTCATACAAAGTATAAGAAGCCATTATGTGTGCAAATCCAAGGTAGTGACTATTCAAGTATAACAAGTAGGAATGAGGAACTAGTTACATATGGGGGCTTTAAGTTAGATTTGTATTGCTTAAGTATTTAACAATATAACAGATCTATTTTATACCTGAAATATTTCATGCTTAGAGATAGTTTCAAATTTAATTCACAGAACAATGAAAAATTGGTGTATGTGGGGTGTTGTCAAAGGGCAAATAATAAATTTAATGTATTCCCCATGCTTCATCTCAGATAAGAGGCCAGTTAACTCCTATGAAGGATCAAGCACTTTAAACGTGATTAAGCATTCTTACTAGATGATGCACACAAAAATCCAGTGAGGCAGTGTTACATATTTGTAAAGAAAATTCTAATTGATGCAAAGATAGAACTCTTAATTTTATTTAGATCTTTCTGCTTCCCAATTCAGTGCCTATTCCATGACCATTAAATTGCCTGTAGCTAGCTATAAATCATCAATTTTGGAAGTGGCAAGTTAACTCTTGTTATAAAATGAGACTATATCTAAGACACATTAGCAGTAGGGATTCTAAAATAATCTCAAGCATGACTTTACAATCTAAACGTTTCTTAAGCACACTTTAGCCTGTTCTCATACCCTTAAGTCAGGCTACTGAGTATTATACGTAACTTTTGTGTTCCTATTTTAAAGGTATTGCTTATAATTTAACATCTTAATTCAACTTTATGATTGTATTTTATCATTTTAATTCACAGTCTATTTTGATTTTTTATTTTAGGACCGGAAGTTAACAAAGTCTGAAAGGCAGAGATTTAAAGAAGAAGCTGAAATGTTAAAGGGTCTTCAACATCCCAATATTGTTCGATTCTATGATTCCTGGGAATCCACAGTGAAAGGAAAGAAATGCATTGTTTTGGTGACTGAACTTATGACATCTGGAACACTTAAAACGTAAGTTTGTCAACATTATAAAGGCTAACCAAGAAGTATAAGACAATTTCCCATATTTCAGCCCTACCAAATCTACTTTTATTACCCAACCTAACCTACTAAGGAGGGAATAATCCTTTCAACTGTTACTTATACTAACATGTTTCCCTGCCCCGCCCTGCCCCCGCCCCCCCATCAAACTCAGGACCTTGCGCTTGCGAGGCAGGTATGATGCCACTGAGTTAAATCCCTGGCCTCACAAAATCTTCTCATGTGTAAAGTGATTTGGTAATTATTTATTGATAACATTGAATTGAGATGTTATTGCAGAATAAACCTAGTTAAGTCATGTAGATTGGCATTTCTAAACTTCAGTGGCTAAGGGACCAGAAATCAAATGTCAAGGTTGCCCTCTAGTGGTAAAAATATTAAAGTTTGTTGGGGAGCAACCCAATTATTTTATCACATTGTTTTGGTTTTTGGTACATCTCTGCAACTGTTACATCAGCTGCAATTATGCTGTGACAGTTTTCACTAAACAATACTTTTATTGCCATTTCCCATAGCATCATAAATTGAAGCCAAAATAGCTAGACCTGTCATCCCTTTCAGGAAAAAAAGTTACCATGCAGAAATTCCATTACCTATTTTAAAAAGCTTTAGGCAAGAGTTGGAGTCTGCCTTCAGGAACTCATGTCCCACAGAGTATCTGCTTGTATTCAGAGAGGAGCCTGTTGTAAATTACAAATTATAAATTGTTTTTGTGCTTTTCAAAGCTAATACTACTGAATTGATTAATCCCAGATCTTTTAGTCTTGTATTTAGTCAATTGCTTGCAGCTTTGACTCCTCCAGGTTAACATGTGGAAAATCTAACAGATCATAATTTTTCTCCCGCAAACTCTACCAAACTTCTCCAGCACTTTTTTTTTTTTTGGTACTGGGGATCGAACTTGGGACCTTGCGCTTGCGAGGCAGGCGGTGGAACCACTGAGCTGTCCAGCTCTTGTTTATTGTATCACTCTTTTCCTGGGTTTTACTTCCTAGCATTATCTAAATGAATTAAGGAAAAGTGTATTATTTTGTGGGATGTTATTGCATATGGAGTTGTTTTCAGATTGTTAATAGCTAGTATATAGGAATACAATTGATTTTTCCATGTTGATGTTGTACTTGTACAGCATTGGCACTTTTTTTTCTTAGTGTAGGCATATATGCATATGTTACATTCTCTCCATATTTATATGTAGGATTATGTCATTTTGTGACACATTATATCTTTATACCTGTGTGCCCATTAACATACTTATAATTATTGTTTTATTTTTGTGATTTCTTAAATCATGTAGGAAATAAAATTATGAACAAAAACACATTAATATTGGTTTTAGTATTTAGTTATATAATTATCTTTACCAGAGGTTTTATTTCTTATGTTTTCAAATTATTGTTTAGGTTTTACTCTATTCTGAAGGGTTCTTTCTAGCATTTCTTGTACAGCTGCTGTACTACTAAGAAATCCAGCTTCTTTATATGCAAATATCTCAATTTCTCCTTCATTTGTGAAGTACATTGTTTTTTTTTGGTACCAGGGATCGAACTCGGGTCCTTGTGCTTGCGCAGCAGGTGGCGAAACCACTGAGCTAAATCCCTGGCCTGTGAATTACAGTTTTTGCTTATTATGGAATTCTTAGCTGGCAAGATTTGTGTTTTTCTTCAACACTTTATATATGTTATCCTACTGTTGCTTGGCTTCCACAGTTTCTGCCGAGAATTCCCTTATATTCTTATTGAGGTTACTTTGATTTTGATAAGTACTTTCTTGCTGCTTTCAAGGTTTTCTTATAGTCTTTGTCTTTCAACAGTTTGAATATAATGTGTCTTTTTTTTTTTTTTTTTTGGTACCAGGGATCGAACTCAGGTCCTCACACTTGCCAGGCATGTGCTGTGCTGCTGAGTTAAATCCCTGGCCCTGTAATGTGTCTTGTTGTGGATGTTTATGCATTTATCTTTCTTGGAGTTTGTTGAGCTTTTCCACTGTGTAGATTCATGTTATTTATCAAATTTGAAAGATTTGTGGCCATTCTCAGCTCTTTTCCTTTAGCTCCTCCTCTTCTGGGACTCTGTATATATATGTTGTTCAGCTTGATGGATGGGATTCCACAGGTCTTTTAGGCTCTTGTTCATTTTTCTTCATTCCTTTTTACTTCTGCTTCTCAGACTGGATACATTCAGTTGACCAGTCTTAAAGTTTTGCCTACTTTTTAAAGATAAAATCTTACTATCACTGCCTTGGACTTCCAAGTGCTGGGATTGCAAGTGTATGCCACCATACCCAGCTAAGTTTGCTGCTGCTTCTGTGTGCTCGGATATTATTTCAGCTTACAAATTTCTGTTTGTTTCCTTTTTAAATCCACCCCCCTGCCCCCGCCCCCACCCCCGCCCCGGTACCAGGGTACCAGGGATCAAACTCAGGACCTTGCACTTGCAAGGCAGGTGCATTTCTACTGAGCTAAAGCCCCGGCCCTGATATTTTCTTTTATTTTAGACCTTTAATACTTGGCAGCCATTATCCTCAACATTCAGTTTTCTAGTTTTGGGACTAGTACTATAATTACCTTCATTTAATTATGAATTGATTTAAATATTTCAGCACCAAAATAACTGGTAGCTGGAGCTCTGGTTTTATGAAGGTGGGACTTTTCTCAAAGTGAGTAAGTAAAAATCAGCCATAATGAAGGACCCTATTTCAGAAAAAAATTTTTTAAAATATTTTATATATGCTGATAGCACATACTGTGCCTGGTTGCCACTTTTCTTTCTCTAGATGATTATGGTGATTTTAACTAAAATTGTTTGCTTGCCTTCTTAGTCTCACTGTATTTAGCATCTCTAAATTTGGAAAAATTCCATTTGTGGTTATACTAGGAATATGATCCCTTCTTGTCTATATTCTCTCCTTGCAAACAGTCCTATACTAGTCTTGCTTATTATACTCATGTCCTATAGGCTAGGTCCCTAAAATGAAATGTGAATCAAAGTATATGTGTGATTTTCTTTTTAATAGCAGTTGAAAAAAGGGTACAGTGGGTTTTGCTTTTTTCCTCGTGGACTAGTATAATCTTGAAGGTCTTTACCAAAATGGTAAGATTTAAACTAGGAGGTAAAGGATATACACATTTTCTGTAAATGGAGAGGTGCTATGGAGAAGTAAAATAAAGAATATAAAGTTAACTCTGTAAGCTAACCCTTTTAGTTAAAAATGGGAAATTTATGGGGAGACATAATGACATAAGATTCTCAACATTTCATTATAAAAATTTTCAATTATACAGAGATGTTGAAAGAATTATCAACAGCCACACATTCACCCCCTAGTTGCTGTCATTATTAACTTTTTGCTACATTTGCCTTTTCACATTATAATCTGTTTCTTTATCCATCAACAATGTGTTGTGTTTACTCCAAAATCAATAATAATCAGCATGCTTCACCCATAAACTCTTCACTATGCATTTCATTAACTGAAGTTCCAGTATTTAACTTTTTTCCCCTTACAGTGAAACCTACATACAGTAAAAAGTATAAATCATAGTTTTATGGTCCACTGAGGTTTTTACTTTTTTTGTTTGCACTACTAAGGATTGAACCCATGTCTCTTTATCAATGAGCTACTTCCCCAGCCCTTTAAAATTTTTTTGAGTCTTGCTAAGTTGCCCAGGCTGCCCTCAAACTTGCAATCCTCCTGCATGTACCTGCATTTTGACAAAGGCATTCACTTGTGTAACCATCTAAGATACAGAACATATCCATCATATCAGAAAATGCTTATACCCCTTCCCAGGACTATACTCATCTACTCTCCAACGGTAACTTCTGATGTATTTTTTAAGGATAAAAAAATTTTAATTGACATATACAAATTGTACATACTTAAAGGGTGCCAGTGATGTTTCAATATGTATACATTATATAATGTTCATATCAGAGCAAGCATATCAACAGCGTATCATTTCTTTATGATTAAAACATCCAAAATCTTTTCTTCTAGCTGTTTTCAAATGTACAGTACATTTTCATTATCTATAGTTATCCTGTGTGCTAGAATACTAGAACATGTTTCTCCTCTTGAAATACAGTGGGGTACACACTGATCAACCTTTCCTGATTCCTCCTTGTAACCTCTCATAACACTCTTTTACTCTGAATTTCTATGAGATCAGTGTTTTGGTATTACACATATGAGTGAGATTGTGTAATATTTGTTTTTTTGGTGCCTGGCTTATTTCACTTAACACAATGACCTCCAGTCCTATCATGTTGTAAATGACAGAGAATTTCACTCTTTTTAATCATTGAATAATATAATATTCTCATGTCTCTGTGTGTGTGTGTAACATTTTCTTTACTCATCATTTGATATATATGTTTCTTTTTCTAGCCTGTTGTGAATAGTGTTGCAGTAAACATGGCAATGAGATGTGTCTTCAACATACTGATTTTATTTCTTTTGTATCAAATCCCAATTGAGGGATTACTAGTTCTGTATTTAATATTTATAGCGACCTCTATGTTATTTTCCATAATGGATGTACTAATTTACATTCCTGCTAACAGTTTATAAGGATTCCCTTTTCTTCACATCCTTGCCAGCACTTGGATCTTTTGTCTTTTTTGTAATAGTCATTCTAACTAGAATGAGGTGATTATGATTTGCATTTACCTAATGATTAATGACAGTATTTTTTTTTCATGTATCTACCTGTTAGCTGTTTGTATGTTTTCTTTTGCCCATCTTTCAATTAGATTGTTTCTTTTTTGCTTTTGTATTTGATTTCTTACACAGCCTGGAAATTAAGCCTTTGTCATATGTATAGTTTGCAAGTATTTTCTCCCATCCTGTAGGTTGTTCACTTTGCTCTGTAGAGCTTTTTAGTTTGATGTAATCCCCTTTGTCTGTTTTGCATTTGTTGCCTATGTTTTTGCGTCTTCCCCCCAAATCCTTTCCTATTCCTATTTCTTAAAGTGTTTCACTTACATTTTTCTTCTAGTAGTTTCATAGTTTTAGTTCTTACATTTAAGTCTTTAATCATTTTGAATTGACTTTTGGATCTAGTTTCATTCTTCTGCATGTATACATCCAGTTTTCCCAGCACCATTTATTGAAGAGGACTATCCTCCAATGCATGTTCCTAGCCCTTTTGTCAAAGATCATATGCCTATAGATGTATGAGTTTCTTCTCAGCTCCATGTTTTGTTCTATTGATTGGTCTGAGTACCTTTTTCATACCAATATCATGCTGTTTTGATTACTGTAGCTTTACAGAATGTTTTGGAGTCAGGTAGTATAATGCCTGCTTTGTTCTTTTTTTTCAGGATCGCTTTGGCTATTCAGATATTTTTGTGGGTCCATACAAATTTTAGGATTTTTTTTTCTAGTTCTTCAAAGAATATCATTGGAAATTTGATAGGGATTTCATTGAGTATTTAGAATGTTTTAATGCCATGGCCTTTTAGCAATATTGATTCATCATTCTTTGAGGAAAGGGTGTCTATTCTTCAGTACTGCATTCTCTTCAGTTTTTTTTATCAATGTTTCATGGTTTTCATTGTACAGTATAGCAGTCTTTCATTTCTTTGGTTAAATTTGTCCCTAAGTTTTGTTTTGTTTGTAACTACTAAATGGGATTGTATTCTTGATTTCTTTTTCTTAGAAATACTACTGATTTTTGCAGGTTGATTTTGTATCTCACAATTTTGCTGAATTTATTATTTCTAATAGTTGGTTGTTGAAGTCTTTGGAGAATTGCATATCCTTGTCTTGTTCCAGATCTTGGAAAGAAAGCTTTCAGCTTTTCCTCACAGTATGATGTCAGCTGTGAACTTTTCATATATGATCTTTACTATGTTGAGATATATACCTGTGATACCTAATTTGTTTAGTTTTTATCATGAAGGGAAGTTGAATTTAATCAAATCTTTTTTCTGCATTTTTGAGATCATGTGGGTTTTGTTCTTCACTGTGTGGGTAAGGTATATCATATTATTTATATATCTTTGGGCTGAATTCCATTTAGTCATGGTGAGTAGTGTTTCTAATTTACTGTTGGATTTGGCTTATATAGGAGTTTTGCATCTATGTTCATCAGAGATACTGACTGTAATTCTCTCTCTCTCTCTCACACACACACACACACACACACACACACACACACACATCTGTCATGTCTTTGGTGGTTTTGGTGTCAGATTAATGCTGGTATTGTAGAATGAGTTTGAAAAAATTACCCCTTCAGTTTTTGGAATAGTTTGAGAAGAATTGTTATTAGTTGATCTTTAAATGTTTGGTAGAACCTAGCAGTAAGTTCTTGGGCTTTTCTTTGATGGGAGATTTTTGAATTACCAATTCAGTCTCATTACTTGTTTTAGGTCCATTCATGTTTTCTGTTTCATCATGATTCAATTTTAGTAAGATGTGTATGTCCAGGAATTTGACTATTTCTTCTAGGCCATCAAGTTTCTTGATTTCTAGTTATTTTTAACAACCTCTAATAATCCTTTGTATTTCGGTGGTGTCAGTTGTAATGTTTCCTTTTCCACCTCTGATTTCAAGTATTTTATCTTTATTAGTCTAGCTAAGGGTTTGTCAGTTTTGCCTATCTTTTTGAAAAACCAATTCTTTGCTTCATTGATATTTCATTTTTTTTAAAGTTTGGATTGGGGCCAAGGATTTAGCTCAGTGGCACTGCTCCTGCCTCACATGTGCAAGGTCCTGAGTTCAATCCCCGGTACCCCCCACAAAAAAAGTTTGGGTTTGGTCTGTTCTTGGTTTTTCTAGGTTTTTTTGGCAATACACTGTTAGGTTTTGAATTTGAGATCTTTCTGCATGTTTTTTGTAGGCATTAATTGCTATAAACATAATTTGATACTCCTCCTGCAGTATCCTACAGGTTTTGGTATGTTGTGTTTCTGTTTTCTTTTCTTTTGAGAAAATTTTAAATTTCTTGTTAATATCATCCTTGTTTCATTGGTTGTTAAGAGTAAATTGTTTAATTTCAACTTATATATGCGTAATTTCCAAAGCTTTTCTCTTTTTTTTTTTTCTGGTTTTATTTGATCGTGGTCAAAAAAGATACTCTCTAGTTTTATTTTTTTTTTTAATTTGCTCATGATTTTTAATTTTTCTGTGACCTGCCACATGATGTATTCTGGAGAATGATCCATGTGCTGTATTACAATAATACAAAAAAGACGTTGATTTAGCAGACCACATGTCATTATTTTGCATACAGTTCCTTAAGAGAATCATTAAAATAGTATGAAAAATTAAAATGCAGCTAATTTGTGGTGTAGCAGTTGTAAATGCATATTATATACACCAGCAGTGCGGCACTTGTAAGATTTCCATAGTAAAATTTAGAGAATTAGTTATTGATAAGCTATTCATGAATATTAATAAATTTCTTTCAGTGAAATAATTTTGATTATTATATTTTATTTTATTTTTTTCCGGTACCAGGAATCAAACTCAGGACCTTGTGCTTGCCAGGCAGGCATGGTGCCACTGAGCTACCTCCCTGGCTGATTATTATAATTTTAAATTGATATGAATAGTATTAATATTTATATTTGGGCAGTAATTATTCAAATTCAAGCAACTAAGTAGATTTCATCCACTTAATAGACTTATTAACTTTTATTAGAAAAAAGACTGATATAAGTAATTAGATCTGTTTGTACTACTCTGACTGGTCTGGCATTGCTGAAAGTAGAGTGTTGAAGTTCTGTGCCATTGTTTTATTGGAGTCTGTCTCTCCCTTTAGGTCTATTAATATTTACTTTATATATAGGTTGTCTGGTATTGGATGCATATATAGTTGCAGTTATTATTTTGGATTTATTTTAGTCCATAAAACTCACTTTTGCTATTATTTTTTATTATTCCACCCAGATGAAGTGAGATTTCATTTTAGTTCCACTGTTAGATCTAGTTCTCCTTGTATTTGTTTAAATGATTACTGTAGAGATTGGATTTATATCTTTAAATCTTTACAACTAGCATTGATATTGTATAATTTCATGTAAAATAAAAGATCCTTACATAAGTAGTCATTCTTACTGCCTGTAAAACTTACTCCTCATGCTGTAATTTTCTTTCATTAAGTTTATTGGTACATTTTAGGTATACAGTATAGTTACATTCATCATTAGGATCTTGTACCTTTACATGATGTATCTTGGATCTTTTCCCCCATTTCTCTGCCCTCCCTTTACCCCCTCCACCCTTCCTTATTTATGTAATTTTCATATATGATACATTTACATACTCTACGAACATCCCAATTGTTATTTTCCCTTCCCAATTGTTATTTTCCCTTAATTAGCCATGTATTTTAAAGATACTAAGAAGAAAATATCATTGTTCATATTTGACATTTTTGTACTCTTTAGTTTTTTTGTCTCTGGTACCAGGGATCGAACTCAGGTCCTTGTGCTTGCGCAGCAGGCGGCTCTTCAGTTTTTTACCCCCGCATATTTCTGATGAAATGTGCATTAAGATGCAATCCCTGAACTGTACATCTGAATATCCCTACAGTGGACAGCATCAGAAATCTCTGTTCTGTTTTGTTGGCTTTGGCTGAGCTGTGTGGAATCTGTCTCACATGTGCATATTTCAAAGGTCAGCTAGAGATTTGGGCAAAGAACATGCAGAATGTAGGACTTTCCTTCTCTGCCTATTTTCTGAAATTTTCTTTCAAGAGCCCCTCTGTCCAATTGAACTTTCTGTAGCGATGGAAATGCTCTACAATGGGTACTGACCCAAATGGTACCATTTGCCACATGTGGCTTTTGAGCACTTGACAGACATGTGGTTCTTGCACCTTAGAAACAGAAATTTTAAGTTAATCTACATTTAAATATAGTCACTTTTGTCTAGTGGGTACTTTATTGGACAAACTATCGTTGCAAAAAGTTCTATTGGATAGCACCCTCCTCAATGTTATGGTCATCCCAAGCTCTGCCCTTGTGTCTGGTCTGTGTCATCAGACTGGGGCCGCCTTTTAGTTGAAAAGGTGTAGAAAACAGGAAGCCTCCAGCATTGCTTTCCCTTCATCTTTGTGTGAACTCACCTCCAGTTTATGACTGGTTTTGATTGTTCTCCCAACACTGTCAAATTATTGTTTTGATTATTTTTTTTTTGGTACCGGGAATCGGACTCAGGACCTTGCACTTTCGAGGCAGGCAGTGGAATCACTGAGCTAAATCCCTGGCTGTTTTGTGTATTTTTGACTAGAGTTTATAAATACATCTGCCACTAATAGGAGCTACTCCATCATTTACCAGATGCAGAATTCTGCCTACCTCTTTTTTGGTTTTTGTTTTTTTTTGTACCAGGGATCAAACTCGGGACCTTGCGTTTTCAAGGCAGGCGCCGGAACCACTGAGCTAAATCCCCAACCCTTTTTTCGCTTTTTTTGACAGTCTTGATATGCAGTTCAGGCTGACCTTGAATTCACTATGTACCTCAGGCTGGCCTCCAACTTGTGGTGATAAGTGCTGGGATTATAGGCGTGCACCAACATGCCCAGCTCTCTTAGTCATTTTGATAGTGAACTATTTGAAGGAATTCATTTTTATGCTTTCTGATTAGAATTTTCTTACTGCTAACATAAAATTTTCATCTGTGAATTAAATACTGCTAATGCTGACACAGTCAGCCTAATCTCCTTTTAAGAAAAAAACTACCCTAATTTTATAACCATTTAAATGAAAGTACTTGGAAGATTTATTTTTCTTTGTTTTATAATAGAATTTTCTATTTTGAACTATTGTAGCCCCTTTTTAACTTCACTAAAAGTATTCCTAACTTTTAAGGTTACTGAATCTTAATGTTCTAAATTTGATATTCGCCCCTTTGGTATGCTCGTATTTAATGGAATTCTTCAAAGCAACAAACACATATCACTGATAACCTGTTTGGTGTACCTTGCTTTTTCTAGGTACCTGAAAAGGTTTAAAGTGATGAAGATCAAAGTTCTAAGAAGCTGGTGCCGGCAGATCCTTAAAGGACTTCAGTTTCTTCACACTCGAACTCCACCTATCATTCACCGGGATCTTAAATGTGACAACATCTTTATTACTGGCCCCACAGGCTCAGTCAAGATCGGAGACCTTGGTCTGGCAACCCTGAAGCGAGCTTCTTTTGCCAAGAGTGTGATAGGTATGTTTCAAATGTACCTTGGAGCCTGAGTGGCCTTTTGATGTTACTTTTATTTAGAAATTTGACTCTACCCAAGCTTTTCTGACATCGAATACACCTTCAGAATTTATAATTTGAACCTAAAAGGTGATGAGTTCTACTTATGAAGTGTGGAGTTCTCTATATTTATTCTTCTAGAATCATCTTGAAGACTATTGATGTTTTATAAAGTTAAATAGAGAGAAATAAGGTGAATATTTTTTACAATCTCATATAACAACCTTAGTCATTCTGTTGATATTTAATAGTATGTACTATTTATATAGCAGATACTCGTCTCCTGAATTAAATGGAATCTATATATGCAGTTTGGTTTCTGAAATGTCTGGAAATGTATTCAGATATGCTTGTTAAAATTCTATTTAAAAATATGAAAATAGGACAGTTCATTCTGAAAAGTTGGTTTTACTCTTTTCTTATTCCCATTCTTCAGAACTTATGATATATCTGAAACAGGTTTCTCAACTTTAGTACTGTGAACATTTGGAGCTGGGCAATTCTTACTAGGGACTGTCTTATGCATTGTGGGATTATTTAGTGTATAATCTCTGGCCTCTACCCACTAAATGCCAATAGCATATCATCTGTTCACCTACCCTTGATGATTACAACCAGAAATGCAATGTGGAGGGCAAAATCACCCCCTGATGAGAATCAACGATGTAAAGAATGAGAATGTACTTTCAGACTTAAACTATTATGTTAAGAGTCACAGCTGGCAAAAATAATGTCTATTTTGATAAACTTCCACTCTGAAGAGATTAAATGGGGAATCCTAAGTATTAATATGAAAAGCTTAGAATACTTTGCACACCCTTACAAAATAGCAGTATTCTTGCAATATTGCATAAGTAGGATTTTGGAATGCTGATTTTACATTATTTTATACAGCATTAATAAGAAGAATGGGAAAAAGTTATTTGAAGCTGAATTCTATTTTGCTTTCTTCACATGAAACATTTCTTTCCTTGTCTTTGACATTTTAAAATCTCTGGCCCAAGAGAGTTACTTTCTTTGTTAAGTGATAGTATACAAGCTTGTTCTCTGAAATGCCCTATAATTTGAAGTGTAAAGACAATTATTTTGAAGCATTGCATAACCTAATCTTGTGGAATCGTACATTGGGTGCTCATAATCAGTTTATATTTGAGTTCTATTTGTGTGTGTATGTATTTGTTTTTTGCCTATAGGATGTCCCTCACTATTATTTCCTCTACCTGCAGTAGGTTTATTTATGTACTGCAGGTGGGATGGTAAGTATGTGAAGAAAAAGGCTTTGGTGAGTGGCCTTTATAGGTAATTTAATTACACTTTATTACCTTTAAAAGTATAGTAAACACAGGGTTTTTCACTGCAAGGCCTCCTTAAAAAGTGAAACTGATCAAATGGAGTGTTAATAATGCAAGAGACTAGCTGTAAATGTTGATTTTGCAGCTACCATACAGTAGGGGGCAGACAAGTATTTAATATTTTAAACCCATCATTTTATAGGCAGATGCTATTATATTTGTTTTGTTCCCTGCTAGTTTCTTACCATTTCCTTCCATTTATTTTCAGCATGAATTATGTTAGTTTATCTCTTATTCAAGGCTCTGTTTGACATACTTTGTGACAGGAATCTATTTTAAACGGTATGTAATCAGTTACTTGACCCTGTCCGGTTTCTTATAAAGGCCTTGCAGTGGAAGATCTTTTGTGAAATACTTGGTAGAACAGACTGACTAAAATGATTTTTTTTTCTCTTTTCCCCCCTTTTTTCTCTTTCTTTTTTCTCCTCCAGTTCTTCTTCCCTCCCTTTTTCTCTCTCACAGGTCAACCCCTCTGCTTCTCTCCCCTGGTGAGTAACATCTATAGCTTCTGCTCACATTGAGTCTGAATCATTCTTTTAATTTAAGGTACCCCAGAGTTCATGGCCCCTGAGATGTATGAAGAGAAATATGATGAATCCGTTGATGTTTATGCTTTTGGGATGTGCATGCTCGAGATGGCTACATCTGAATATCCATACTCGGAGTGCCAAAATGCTGCACAGATCTACCGTCGAGTGACCAGTGTAAGTCTTCCCATACCTGTTGGTGAGCTTTGGTCACATCTAACAAGGAATATCAAGCTGGACAATATCCTACCATCCATAGGGGACAATATAGAAAGTATTCTGAATAAGGTATTGGAGGAGGAGTATTGAGGTATATGCAAGGTTCATGAAATAATAAGAGTAAAGATGAGTAACCACCAGTTTATCCTGGGTCTAACTTGCATTCGCTTACACTTTTTTTTTTTATAAGATGTGGGTGTTAATTTTTTTTTTTTTTTACTCAAACTTGTGTCTCCTGCCTGAGCCTCCTGAGTGCTGATATTACAAGCATATACCCAGCCCTGTAGAATGTGTTTAAAACCACACCCCTGTCACCTACTTTTTAGCCCCTGTTAGTTGATAGTAATCCTTTGAAAGTAATCCTTTTAACTTGGGATCCTTTGGCGAAGTAATTTGTTCTCAGACTTTTCTCTGAATGGCTTGATGTGGTATATTATTCAATATATATTATTAAATCATATGAATGTCCACAATATTTAAGGTATAAATTAATACTTTAGCTTAAATTACCTCAGGTAGTTCATGTTTCCTGACAGATACTATTTTCTAGAGCTGTCCGATGGCAACCTAAAATGTAGTTTGTAGGATTCATCATTTTGTTTTACCACTATGTGTTTCATTATGCTCCCCCTTTACTCCCAGTACAGATGGTTTTATACGTAATCATACCATACCATACCATACCATACCATACCATACCATACCATACCATACCATACCAAACCAATAGAAAATTAACAGTAATTTCTGGATTCCATAGAAAATTAACAGAGATTTCTGGATCACCTTATACCCTGAATCTATTCAGATTATTTCCCCCATTGTTTCAGAAATTTCTGTTTATAGTCCATCTTCAGAATAGGCTCCATCAGGGTCCACCAAAGATATTTTGTTATTGTTTCTTAGTTTGTTCCCACTTTCTTTATCTGGATGCCATTGAATCATTGAAATTATTTTCAAAACCATCACACATTTAGAATTCATCTGTTTGCTTCCTGTAGTGTCATTTTACTTATTATTCTGTCTTCCATATTTCTGTTAAAAATTTTTATCTTAGAGTATGTCAACAATGTGAAAATAATTTTTTCTTTTTTACTTCCATTCACAAGTCATGTACAGTGTAGTTTTCCAGAATCTGTATGATACACAGTATTACAAAAGAGGAAAGGCAAAAGATGTGAGAATCCATTTGTCTTCTGTTAAACCATATATTAAAAACATGGCAACAAAATTTTGAATTTAAAAATTTTAAATATTATATGGTATTAACATAGGTTTGTTATAAATTTTAATGAATTAATAAATACTTTTAGATATTCTCAGTTTTACTTCTAATGTAGTAAATCTCAACAGATGTAACACATACAAACAAGGCTGATGGTCCTCAATAATTTTGAGTGCAAAGGAATCTTAAAAGTCTGAGAACCATTGTTCAGAAAGCTTAGACAAAATTTAGGGTAAACTCTGTCACAAGGACTATGTAGTACTGTATATCTTACATTACATTAGATGATACCTAGCATCTCCTTAACCCATTCTTAGTGAGTAAAGCAGTTTCATTGAATTTTGACATATTAAAAGTTGTGACTATTAATTACTTAGATTTTGAACTGATCAGAGTGGAAATTTGGTATTTTTAAAAAACTGATGAAAAACATTTTGTTTTAGGTACACTAGTTTTACATCTTCACAAAGGGTTGGACAAAATCTTTATAATCAAAGATTTATTATAATCATTGATTACACTTGTGATGGAATATTCCTTGAATGTCTTCTTTGTGTATTTGTGAGTCTTCTGTGTGTGATTTGGGTGGAGCTTCCAAGAGTTCGTTTATTTAATTCAACATGAATGTTAAGAAGTAAGATCTTCATAATCAATAAAAATAATAGCCACTGTTTGCATAGAAAGCAGCATTACTCTCAAGTTATTTCTGAATTTATTTATTTAATTTTTTGAGATAGAGTCTTGCTGTGTAGTTCAATCTGGCCTTGAACTCACTGTGGAACAGGCTATCTCAAACTCGAGGTCACCCTCTTGCCTCGGCCTTCTGAGTGCCAGAATTACAAGTGTGCACCATCACACCTAGCTTAACAACCTCCTTTCAATACCCACCCATCTTGTCTCACCACAGAATTCATGATAGGATTCTAATCCATGAAGCACTGATTCTCACTTGGCCTAGATGGGATCAAAAGAAATGAATTTTATAAAGTCTTCATGTCATTCTATTAAGTACCATAATCATAATTTTAGTTTTGGCTTTTGAACATCAGTCTGGTAATCTGCTTTGCCTGTAAGAGTTCTATACTTTTATTCCCAGTTCAATTTTCTTAATATTTTCCCATCTTCTCCCAATAATTTACATTTTCCTTTTTTTTTTGGTTCATTATTGAACCCAACAAGAATTCAGTCATTCTTGTTGACTGAAATTACAACTAGATACAAAAAGCAGTCTGACATTTTATTAAAATAAGTGACCAAGTAATGAGAGAAAATATAAGCTAATAGATTCAAGGATAAGGGAAAAGGTACCAAAAGTTGCTATGGATCAGAGTTGATTTAAGATGACTATGTTATGAGTGACATTACTAAATAGTAAAACATTTTTATTATGTGACTTTAGGCAAATCACTTCTAAGCCTTAATTTCCTTATATAGATATGATAGTCATTATTGCCAGATTTACTAAGATTGTTGTGAAAAACAAATGCATTGAAATTGTATAAGAAAATGCATTTGAAAAAAATAAGTTTAAGGCTCAGATACATTACATCCAAAATCTTTCATTTTAAAATTTCATTTGGGGGCTGGGGATTTAGCTCAGTGGTTTCGCTACCTGCTGTGCAAGTGCAAGGACCCAAGTTTGATCCCTGGTACCCCCAAAAAATAAAATAAAATTTCATTTGATTTATTCCCTAACTTTTCATTAAAATAGTAAATATATGAGATTATTTCATGTACAAATGACTGACTAGTAAAAATTGAAAGTATAAATCTGATTGGATGGTCAAGTTATAGCCTTTCTTAATTTTTTTTTTTTTTGTGTGTGTGTGGTACAGGGGATCGAACTCAGGACCTTGTGCTTGTGAGGCACGGGTGGTTCTACTGAGCTACATCTCAGGCCCCTTTCTCTTTTTTGTTTTTTTTTAAAATATATATATTTATTGGTACATTTTAGGTATAAAATACATTTACATTTATCATTGGATGTTTGTCCAGAACATGATGCATCTTAGTTTTAATTTTTTCTCCCGTTACCTGTGCACCCTTCACCCCCTCCACCCTTCCCTATCTACACAGAGTTTGATTCCATTTTTTTTTCCTCATAATTTTTTTCTTTCCGGGCCCCTTTCTTAATATTCTTAAAGAGTTCTTTGTCCAGTGAATTTTCTTTTCGAAGTGTGTTAGATGTTTTGTGCTTTTTATTTTTATTAAATCTTAGAGGATCTTTGAGGATTTGATTTGCTGTCTATATGGCATAATGTGCCAGGTCAGAGTCTTGGTTAAGAACAATTTTTTTATTGTATATGCATAATAAAATTTTATTCATGTTTTCAACAGCTTTATTAAACTGGTTCATATGCCATCTAATTTGTCCATTTCAAATGTACAGTTCAGTGTGAGGTTTTGTGTGTGTGTGTGTGTCTTTTAAAGACAGGATCTCCCTATGTAGTTCCAAGTTGGCTATGACCTCACTATGTAGTCCAGTGGCCTCAAACCCCCAGTGATCCTCCTTTCTCAGCTTCCTGAGTGCTGGGATTACAGGCATGCACCCCATGCCCTGCTAGTTCAGTGTTTTTAATACACTCATAGAATATTATATGTAGCCATTACCACAGTTTTAAGAATACTTTGATCACCTGAAAAAGAAATCCTGTACCATTAAGCTATTACTCATACCCAAATCCCTCTAGCCAAAAGCAACCACTAATCTGTTTTTATCTCTATAGATGTTCCTATTTTGGATATTTTATATAAATGGAATCATACAGTATATGAACTATATTGTGACCACCTTCTTTTGCTTAGCATGTTTTTAAGGTTCTTTCATGTTATCGTGTGTTCATATTTCATTCCCTCACCCCCTTGCCATACTGCAGATCAAATTTAGGGCCTTGTGCATGCTAAGCAAGTATTCCACCATTAATTGAGCTGTAGTCCTAGTCTTTTCATTCCTTTTTAGGGCCGAGTAATACTTATTTGTGAGTACACATCAGTTTGTTTAGTCATTCATCCATTATTAAATATTTGGACTGTTTCCATGCTTTGGCTATTGTGAATAGACTTGCTAAACATATTCATGTCACCAGGGATTTAGTTCAGTGGTTCTGCGGCCTGCCTCACAAGCTCAAGGACCCGAGTTCGATCCCCGGTACCAAAAAAAAAAATCCACATAAACATTCATGTACAAGTTTTTTATTGAGCATCTGCTTTTTGTTCTCTCTGGTATATATCTGTTGAAGTGGAATTACTAGATGATGTGCTCTTGTGCATAATCATTTCAGGAGCTGTTTTCCAAATGACTATACCATTTTACATTATCACCAACAAGGTGAGAGGATTCTGATCTCCCATTATCTTTACCAACACTTGTCATTACCTAATTTTTGATTCTAGCCATCTAAGTAGGTTTGAATTGGTATCTCAGTATGGTTTTTGAATTTCATTTCCCTGCTCACTGAACATCTTTATCATATACTTGTTTACTGTATATCTTCCTTTTATTTGGAAAAATGCCTATTCAGATCCTTTGCTCATTTTTAATTAGATTTTTATCTTTTTCTTATTGAGTTCTCTTTGAATATTCTAAATACAAATTCCTTATCAGATAAAAGATTTGTTATTATTTTCTCCCATTCTCCCATGGGTTTTCTTTTCTTAATATTGTCAGTTTAATAATATCCTTTGAGGGCCAGGGATCTAGCTCAGTGGTTCCAGCGCCTGCCTCTCAAGCACA